GTTGTGTGCTAAACCTCCTTCTTTTTTATCATTTTGATGCTCTAAAGCGGCAAAAACAAAATTGACCTAATTTGCATAATTTGCGACGGAAAAGCGTCGCAAATCCAGTCGATTCCTCCAGAGTCTTTCCGGCGTCAGCATACCGCTGACATTAGCCGAGAAGACTCTGGGCTCGAGATTGGAGGCTAGTCAGAAGCATTGTCCCGGTTACATGTTTTAAACGATTTTCAAGTTTTAAAACTAAGAAACACTTAGAATAAACATAGCTCGCAACCGTATTTAAAAACGTAAAAACTGCTCATAAACTATGTCATGTCTTTTTCTAATGACAACGTTTTTAGATAAACATTTTATAATAAATAATAGCGAAAATATGTTTAGACGACGAACGCCATTTTCAAGTCAGCATGTGTTATAAGTGACTGTGTTTTCCTAGAAAAACCAACATTGTGGACAACATGATAGCGATGATGGAAAAATACACAGATCAGCTTGAAGTTTTGGTTGAGGAAAGAACTAAGGAGTTAGCGGCAGAGAAAGCGAAGACAGACGAATTATTGTATAAAATGTTACCAAAGTAAGTAACGAGAATTGATCCAAGATTATCCTCTATCTGAATAAAATTGAATAGGCTTTTGTTTACCAATGGTAAGTTAGAATACCTTTTTTACAGGCAATAATGGTTAACACTGATATCGTTAYTTATAGGCCAATAGCTGAACAGCTAAAGAAGGGCAATTCAGTTGCCGCTGAAAGCTTCACCAGTGTCACGATATTCTTCAGCGATATCGTGGGTTTTACAGCTGTTGCTGCGCAAAGCACACCTTTCCAGGCAAGTCTTGAATTGTGCACAGTTCCATATTATATCCATCCATTTATCCTACCATCCTCTCATCCCTGAATGTGTATCGAATCGCGCGCACATGTAATATCCTCTATTTATCCAAGTACTCATTTTGTCTAGTATGATGAAAACTAGCGGTGAACTAGTGTGAAGGCATCGATGCATCTAAAGAAACAGTTGTGAAATGAAATATATTTTGCAACAGTAAACTTATCTACGTACCTTACCTACATTTCTTTCTTTTAACCATTCATTCATTCATCCATTCATTATGCAGTGTTTATGTAGAAACAAGTTATAAACTGATATCATTTTCAGGTCGTGGACCTCCTCAATGCTCTTTACACATGTTTCGATCAAGTCGTCGACAAACACGATGTTTACAAGGTTGGTATGCCTGAGAAAACAGCACTGTTGCGGTACAGTTTAGCACTCATACAAAAACGTCTCAATTCGGGATTGTCAAGGCTTCTCTTCGTGTTTTCCAACAATCCCTGATGTGCTATTTCTCCAAAAACCACAGGGTTACCATTATCAGTTAGACCTTGTTTCAAATGGTTTATTTTGATGTTCCACAGGTTGAAACTATTGGAGATGCGTACATGATTGTGTCTGGGCTGCCTGTGCGCAATGAGAATAGACATGCAGGGGAAATAGCGACAACATCTCTTGATCTGTTAAGTGCTGTGCGTGATTTTCAAATCCCTCATATACCATCCAGGAAAGTACAGCTAAGAATTGGAATCCACACCGGTAAGCTGTCTGAATAGTCAACTTTAGATATTTTGGTTCGATGACTATGTACAAAAGAACGCACACGAGACTCTGGGAAAACAATAGATAATCTTGATTTATTCTTATATTTCCCCGGAGTCTCGTCTGCATGCAATTCGTTTGTGCATGGTCACTGAACCAAAATATTTAAAGTCGGCTATCAAAATTAAAATTGAATGCAAATTTCCATTTTTGTTATATATTTTACTTCTTGAGTACTAATATTGTTACAGCGAAACCCTGTGCCTTACGGCCACCCGCATAAATCGGACACTCCGTTATAACGACTATATTTTAAACCCTCATACTTTTCTGTCCGGTTAAAGTGGACGGGTTAACGGGGTTCCTCTGTATTTAGACCGTATTGACTGACATTGTGAAATCTATATAGGTCCATGTGTTGCTGGTGTTGTTGGTCTAAAAATGCCTCGATATTGTTTATTTGGTGACACAGTGAACTATGCATCAAGAATGGAATCCAGTGGGCTCGGTAAGGCATAGAAATATCCCAAGAAATACTCTTAACACGAACTATATTAATTATTTATCTGATTATACTTTATAGCGTTAAGAATACACGTTAGTCCTGAGTGCCGAGAGGTACTGGAAGAGCTGGGAGGATTTCACATTCAAGAGAGGGGACCTGTCAGCATGAAGGTAGATTAATAGTATATTTACTCACAACCCGCGAAATTATATATATCCGCGAGAGATTTTGRTACTCCACGAGAGGTATCACATCCCGCGAGTGATATCCCATCGTGTAAGACGACATGTCTCTCAAGAGATATCACCTCCCGAGATAGATATCAGTATAGTCAAAATCGCGCGAGATATCAGCATCCCGCGCGAGGTATTTAATCGCGCGAGTCAAAATCGCGCGAGATATCACCATCTCGCGAGAGATATCGGCATCCCACGAGAGATATCGGCATCCCACGAGAGATATCTTATGATTATTACTGTAATTGTAACCATAGCAGTAACATGTAATTGGTGATTTTTAAAGGGTAAAGGAACCATTGTTACATACTTTCTTCTTGGTAAAGATGGATACGACAAGCCACTTCCCGACTTACGAGACGCACTACCACCGGAGGCTCACGAATTCAAGTAAAAGACCAACACGAACACCTTCCTCTACGATAACTATCCGAGTAGTATCCGATGTAGCGACGACTTCTTTTCCGTCGAGAATTCGGGTGACTCTGTCCTTTCCGGGAAGTATCCGAGTCAAGTCCGACGCAAACACGAACACTATATTCTTATAATGAGYATTTGTAAAAATTTGGCCATCTCCGAAATCTGTCCGAGTGCGACCCGATGCTGTCCCGAAAGTAGGCGGTTTGTGCACTTGATAACAATTAAAGAATAAAATGAATTCTAGTAAATGTATATAGAAAATAAGTACACGCTCTAAAGAGCGCTTCAACAGCTAAATTTAAGCACGAAATGGAAATAGAGCATTGCCAGACACGTTTAAATACTGCAATTCCATGTACATATCTCAGACACGATGGTGTTCCTTAATGTACAAATACTTTTTATTGTCATTCAATGGTATGAAACGTAATATGAATGGGAAACAAATTGGTAACAGATAATAGTTACTTAAAGAATCGCAATCAACATTGGTTAAAATTTCATGGTTTTACAAGCGCAAAGTTCTCCTTTGCAGCCGAATAAATAATGAAACCATACGATATTTATATTTTCTTTTATTATTTCATTATTAAAATATCTCCATTATGTAATAAACAACTTGATAAGACGTTTGTAGAGTTATTTTTGTAGTAGAGTCATGATTGGATTAACAGGAAACTACTGGAATACTACATTAACTGTTTTAGTCTATTATTTGATTGCTAACTTACATTTTTCTCTGTCAATTATTATTTAACTTCTCTATTGCTTGACTGYTTTATTTAAAATTGTTCTATAATTAAATTAAATTATATTTTTATGATATGGTCTAATAAAGTAGATATAACTGCTACAACATCCATTAAAACGTTTGATAACGATTTCTGATTGTAAGAAATGCATGTAGGTATGCATTTTCCTATTGATAAATCTAAATCAAATTTCAAGCTCACATAAAGAAATATTACTGGGTGGGTTACCTTTGTAGTAGCTATCCGTGAAAGCCTAGGTTCGACAAAGCTCAACTATTAGCGCATCTTAAAGCAAAAGAGGTCATACTTCATCTTCATTTAACAGGTCTATATAATGAGAATTTAAACGTATCAAAAATAAAATAAAAGATAGAAGAAGACATATAAGGCTGCTCAACGGATGTCTACTCTATGAGTTCAAACTAAGCGATTTTTTTCATACTATTATTCTATTTACAATGCTCATCATTTCTTGGAAATCAAAGAGACTTTTTAACTCCTGTTATAAGAGCTCTAAATTATATTTTTAACTAATTTTTAAAGAATCGTTTCGGCATTAACGTGACAACAAATTTCAACCAATCAACAATTAGTTCATCACGTGACACTTTGGAAACTCAACTCAACTATGTCAATAAATTTGTCATATCTTATCAAAGAGATTTTTTAAATTAGACTTGGCAACGTTTTCTGAGAAATTCAATTTGGATGGGAAATTATAAAACCTTTCTATAAGACTGTATATTATCTTGAGTCGTGAATATATCGCTGTTCTCTTTGATGCAGTGCTTTGGTTATTGAAACCAGCTTTCTTAGAATAGGCTACGGAAGTAATAAATAATTTTAATAATAGAATTAAATAAGTAATCGATTAATTTTAATAATATTTAATAATTTTGATAATATTAAATAATTTTAATGATTTTAATTTGAATAAAGAAAGAAAACGCGTAAGGATGCAAGAAAAAAAAAATAAGAAACAAAGTAAGAAGTAACCGAGAACGAAAGTACGTCATGGCGGAAGGAAAGGAGTGAAGAAGAAGCCATRAATACAACATGTTTACCTGTGTACCACCCTGTAGGATAAGATCTTCTTCATACACAACACAAATGTCATGTAAGGCAGCCAAATCACGTGCCGGGTCAGAGGACACTTGTTCGTGCGTATCGGGGCATTCGTTAATGGACTGAAAACAAAGTTAACAATGATACCTAGTTAGTGAGTGAGTGAGTGACAACTTCAGGAATCCCTTTTCAAGAAAAACAATACAATACAACACGACCCAGTATAAAATCTTCTGTAATGCCAGTAATTACAGATGTTTAGCCAAATCAAATAACAAAAAAGCAACAGTTACCGATATTTGATCAATGAACTCCACAACTTTATCCTTATACTTCTGCATGAATGGATTAACTGGAGTCATGCACGCCTCCTAATGGGAGCAAATGTTGATTTTAAAAGCTCGAATATAAAGACAATGAGAAAATAAAGCACAATATCCTACCTTAGCTCCAAAGTCGACGAGATTAGCAAGCTTTTGTAAACATTTTGCAACGAGGGTGAGCGTTCTTGCTGCTGTTGACGATGGTAATTCTAACAACGAAACGAAAATACGTTTAGAAAGGTTGCACTCAAGTCCACCACAGGGTTCTCCACCACAACGTCAAGCCTTTACAACACAGCAAAAAATCTCTCCCAAAAAGCCATCTGCATCACCGTTTTTCACCATATCATAAAGTTCTCCACCACTCCGCAAACCTTCTCCACCAAGCGTTCTTCACCACAGCGCTAACTTCTCCACCAAACGTTCTCCATCACATTGCGAAGTTCTCCACCACATTATCGAAACTTCTCCGACACAGGATTCTCATGAATAATCTAATCTTACCTGACATAAGATTACATATCTTGGGATTCATGATGGCAGGACAAAACAGCCGAAGGAATAAAAACCCACTGTTAAAGAAAAAAAAAACAGCAATATCAAAGTTGGTTCAAGGAACAGAACTATGCTTTGGATCATAATATAAYGCTTACTAATGAATTCTTAACTTCGTACCTCACAACTCTAGTTCTTACAGTYTTGTGGTCGATCCATTTGTCTTTGACATTTTGCTGCAGACAGCCGAACAGGTATTGAAGCGTCCTGTGCAACAACAAAAAATATTCTTTAATCCACTTGTTTCATGAACAGGGGTTATCTTTGCATGCTTTACTTCTTTAAGCTGATGCTTTCGACAAACTGCCCGTCTCTAAAACATGACTTATTCCTGGCATCTTTTTTGTCAAAAATCAGAAGACATTTCTCTCAAATAGCAGGGCTGAAGATGTGAAATTCCCAACACCATAGGCCTGCAAACGAACTTACTAACGAGAGACATACTTACAGTGGACAGTTATTTGCAGAATTGAATATCGCATCTATTGCTTCAAATAGGAATTCCAGGAGTTGTTTTAAGTTCACCACAGTATCAGCGCCTTTCTCCATCTTGGTTGGATTGAGCTGAAAACCGACATAATTATCATAAATTTGAACTAAGAGATTATGGTGAACTTTATTGTCCAATCCTTATAGTTTTCTCACCTCACAAGATTGCTTACAGTCCAGTATCTTTATGATGACATCCTTAATGGTCTGTTGTAAGTAAGGAATAGCTACCATCTTCATATATTGGTCCATTAAGGTTGTAGCAAGCGATGTTCCACGAAATAACGTGCTCTGCTCGTCTAGAGAAAATATTAGCATAACAAATGATATAGTTAATTCACAAAAGTCTCCTTCACGGTTCCTAGCACCTTCTTGAAAGGTAGCCGTGCCTTTACATCGAAGCGAGACAACCGTTGAGTGTGCAATGATAGATACCTATGAATAATTGTCTGTTGGTGTTAAAGAAGGTTTTTATCATTGAACGCTCAACGGTCATCTTGCTTCGATGAAAAGGCACGGCCACCTTTCAAGGTGGCGAAGGGAACCGTTTAGGGGCACTGGAAGGAGACTATTTGTTTCTTTGTTCATCAATTCATTCATTTATCCATCTATCCACTAATCCACTAATCCACCATTCTTTTATTTATTCATCCATTTATTCATTTCGTCATCCATTCTTTTTTTCATTCATTCTTTCAGTTGTTCATCTACCTACATATTTATTCATTATCCATTCTACAGCTATTCTCAAGGTCATATAGCTTCAAATACCTTGGTTTTCGATTTCTTTAGCGTTCATTGTTTTCAGTAAAAATATTTCTTGCTTTTCATGTCTAAAGATCTTGAGTAGTGTGGACGCTAACAATACGCGGTCTTTACAAATCTGACCCAAAGCAGTGACAGCTACAAGCTCGTTATCCATCAAAATCTACGAAATAATAAACATAATTAAGACAAATTGGCTTTCAAAACTGCGTAATTTCAACATGAATCGCCAAGCCCTCGAAAGTGCTTCCTTGTCCAGGCAATGCATGTGATTTTAAGTTGACTTTCAAAAATAATTTGCATGGTTCCAGCTTCAATCAAAAACTAATCGTTAGTGTAGCGCAGACATTTATACTGGGTAGAGTTGCTTAGGCAGAAGAATATCCCTACCAAACTAGTAAGCATACCTCCTTTAGACTGTCGTACTCTTGAACAGGCATAATGATTTCATGCTGTGAAATGGAAAGAGGAATGGAAATAGGAATATCAGAAATGAACGAAAATTGGAGTGGAGAATGAAACACAGCATAAACATTTAATTTTTTAGGGTTGAGGATGGAGAGAAAATGAGAGGCGTGTTGCTCAATTTCCTCCAAATAGCAGGGACATTCAACATGCCTACTTCTCCGACAGGACTTTCACTCCAATATCAACAAGTTTCCATATCAGTGGTATAATATTCCTAGCCAAGCAACCAGGAATTCCTGGTAATGGTCAGATAAACCCCACTTCCATACACTTAGTTTCCTAGACTAGGTGGTGACATTGTGCCCGAGACACTTTGGTTATGTCATTCATATTTTAAAATACGAACACAAAGCCAGAGGTACCATCTCCCTGTCAATCCAATATAATAGTAATTGCATCTGAGGGTCAAAATGAGGACTTACCGTGAAYTTGATTCTCAGTCTTATTGTCCCTACTTCTGTCCTGCTGTTATGTGCACATAATGGATACCAATCRTCCTTTGTCTGTCCCTTGGGGAGCTTATGAAGTGCTTGAGTACAAGAGCCTGAACCATTAAAACACATTTAATAAACTAATTTATCATATAATTATCTATGAAATATCTATATTTCTCCATTCCATAAAGTTGTTATTTTCACTAGTATAATAACACATTCGAGGTTTCTCTATATAGTGGAAGAAAAAACGTATTTTATGACTTWTATTTTGCTTCCATATGTAATTATATGATAAASAAAATATTGCATGGGCRCGCRGAGATACGTATTTTATCTTGGAGTGTTGAAAAGATYTCTCACGAGTGAGCGTAATTATTGGAATACTGGTTATTTTTGATAAACAAAGTTATTACACTTACCAATTAAGATGTCTTTTGAATGCCAACTCTTGTTGTACAAGCTGACGGTTACACACCCCACATCTGCTGGTAGATCACTGAAGGCAATATTGACACATGTCAATCATCTACGTTTAGCTATATTTTATTGATAGTGATTCATATTCAATATTCACAGACAAAACTAGTAAAGTTTTAGCTATTTGTTGTACGTAATGCCTTAAACATCAATGAATTAATTAGTGAAACTGATTTCCTCGTTTTTCAGCATTTACAACTGATTTATAAAGACTCTTTTAAATTTTGGGGTAACCCCTGTTAATACTGCTAAATAGAAAAATATAATGGTTTAAATCCCCTTCGTATAGAGTTTATTGAAGTTTTCCGGCTTTAGTCCAACTTGACGATAAGAAGCATTCCGTCTCCGAATCTGTGCATTTTTATCGGCAAGTAGGATTTGATGGTAAGACCAGAAGACCCTATAACTTTAAGAACTGCCTTCCGTAAGTTCTGCATGTAAAAAGCGGGAGCGATAATACTAATCCCATTTCACAAGAACGTCACTTACTTGAATTTAAAATCTTCATTCCACAGGGGCTTCTGTCCTTCGTACGTTTTCGTACGGCACGTTTTAACTTCGTTCAGCGAGATAAAGCAGTACACGTGGGAAACTTTGTTCTGGGGAAGTTTATGCGCTTCAATCACGCTCAGTTCTAGACTTCTAAGTTGTTTCACTTCCACGTTGTCAGCATCTGTAGACTTGGACTTACCACAGAACTTTTGAATAGCATCCATCCAGTCCTTTGCAATGGAACGACAAAAATGCGACATGAATAAATCGCGTGCTACGTAAACGAAAATTACAGCCAATGCCTGGACAATTTCAAGGAAATTACGAACTAAAACAGGTGCGAATTAGAAGAAAATAGAGAAAATAAGAGCTGTTATTTTGAGCAATATTAGAGCGTGCACAGCGAGGTACAAACTCCAGCCCACAACTGAAATCAAAGTATCTTTTTATGTGGACGACGAGAATTAATTCAAGACAGTTTGACGCCTACGTGTAACAAATCGCAATATTCTATTTTGCGGTCATTAATGACTGGCGCCATTTCGACTAGCAAACTGTCGGACTCGTCAAAACACTTTTTATTGTTCTYGAAAGCAATGCAAAACTACAGGCCAGTTTTTTATTAAAGTATTGTAAAGGACGAAGTGACTGAATGTCCAAAAACCGGACGGGRCAACTCATGTTACACCCTCCCAAGATTATGTCGTCTGAGAACAAGAGTCATCTCATTAAAAACGTCTAGCAGGTTCCCTTTGTTTGCTGTTATTTTCATATTCTTGAAAATCGATAGGCTGGGCAAGTCTTACTGTCTACGTAAAGAACTTGAGTTTTGACCAAAAAGCAGCGGTTAAGATGGAAATTAGAAAAAGAGAATGGAAGAGGATAATGACCGGAARAATAAAATTTTTAACAAACATCAGAGCATCCATCYCCATCCCTGGACACATATTTATACCGTAAAGCATTGAACACCTCTATATTACAAACGCATCTYTCAGTATTACGGACATCTCTATTATTATTGMAGACACCTCTATATTACGGGCACTATTTCCTATGGTCCTCGATATCAAAGGGTCCGCAGTAAATTGAATGGAAGAGAGATATGAAACGTATCAATACGGAAATAGTACGACTTACATTAGCCTGGTCTTGCGTATCCGCACAAAGATACGTCATTCTTGATTCGCCAAGCGCTCGGACCACCACTTGGAAGCAGTTTGGTCTAACGAGAGAGAAAAATGAAGGGAAACATTAGAAAACTCCCTAGCATAACTCTCTTGTTCTGTTTTTTTTTATGGGTATATAGATACGATAAAAGCACTTTGGTTTTGCGTATAATTTCACCGAGTGAATGTGGGCAGGGACATAACAGTCGTTTATATAATTGACAGACGTAAAGTGCGCTACGTCATTGTGTCTTATTCTCGGCAAGTAGTCGTTTTGTCTATTATTACCTTCCAAAGAAGTTTTCATGCACAATGTAAACAGTCGAGAAAGTCAGGTCAAGCAAACCCTTTGGCTTGGTGCGCTAAGAAAACCAAATAGCATCAATAGAGAGTCTATTAGCAAAACAAATTCGTGGGGAGAGGGATTAGGCATTAACAATCATAGTAACAAACCAGAAGAAGTCATGAGTTAAGAGAAACAAAATTTTGAGTAACAAACCTTTTCGTTCTCAAAGAATGACAGACGCTGTTCAAGTCCATTAAGAACAAAAAACATCCTTTTCCATTTATTACGATGCCCTGCAAGAAAGATATCATTCACCACGTCAGAGACTTAGTGGAGAGACCTGGACAACTACGTCAGGAAAGGCGTCCCTGGATCGTTCATAAGTCGCGCGCCTTTTCATGATTTGTGTGCGAAATTTGAACCCGTAAAACGAAATGAAATACCGCATGACTGCATGTATTTTAACTTAAACGTTGCGCTTCGCAGTTAGCTATGTGTCCCTACCTTTCTTAACAAGATAACCACGYTTGGATGCTTGTTGACTTGTGTTGATAATAGACGGACCAACACTCCCTGATCTGGTGTTTAGATTTGTAAACGTAAACCCATCCATGACGTCACTCGAACGGCTGGCAGTCAGCGGTCTATGAGGGATGTTCCATGACTGTGGCTGTAGAGTAATATGATCAGCAAATTCTCGATAACTAGTTGATTTCTTTTRATAATATAATACACGGTTTTGGTGTTCAGAGGATTTGTTTTTACAGGCTCAGTTTTATTCGCAGATTCATGTTTTTATTTGATTAAATGTAAGACTGACAAGGTTAATTGATTTGTTTGACAGTTCCTTTTTTATTCTCCACCGTCAACACCCATTACAACAGACACCTTCAAAACAGTTTTATAAGCGTTCTCAGTGCAGATTGTCTGCTGTAACGGGAGTACTTTCAGTAGCTTAACRGCTTGTTCACGACTCAAGATTTCGATTTTATTTTTGATGAAGTTTTCTCTTATTTTTATCAGTCTGTCAGACCATTTTTGGTAATTGAATAATTTAAACAAGTACTACTTACCCTGGTTACTGGTTCTTTAAGAGACAATCCCTCAACTATGTGCTCATGCTTGTACCTCTTCACAACATCATCAATACTACAAGACATCAATAGAGAACAATGTCATAATATATATACACCGCGTTTAAATAAAGAAAACAATTAATATAAACAAAAATGGCAGCAATTCTTATTTTCAGTCCCCAACACCATCTTAAAAGGTAGTCTTTTCATCACAATGTGACAGTAATTAAGCTTGCAATGATAGATACCTGTCGGCATGCTAGACAGTAACATAGAAGTGGGCGTTCATGGGGGTGTAGCCATTGCAATAAAACAGATAGTGGCAGTTAAAATTATAATTATTGTGTATAGTTAGTTATCCCTAAAAAAGGTTACCATTAACACTTTTAGCTCATTGCATACCCAKGCTAACACTAAAAATAGCTCTKTGAACTATAAGAGGAAGTAACTKATCACACCTKTCAAACAGCCTGCCACCCATAAGACACTGTGAGCCTTGCTGMCGAATAAGAAATCTTGTAATACCATCTTGATACCTTACAAAATAATCATTTGTTTGATAGTTGGTTTATTAGAAAGTGAAAAMATATCTTTATTAATAGGGAAATAGAAAGGAAAGAGCCATAACTCACCTTAAACTGAGTGAGTAATCCCCTGGGGATTTGTCGCTTGGTCTGATCAGAAAACTGCCTACTGCACCATCTACACAATCATAATACGTAAGATATTGTAGSTGTTTATGGACACAATGTCTACAATCTACTTTATCAAGGGCTTTAACACATCTYCTGAAAATATGCCTGAGGTCTGAAACTCTCCTTTAAAAATTGGCTTAGAAGGTTTCAGAGGACATTTCATTCCATAATGCACATTCATTTTGATAATATTTTGATAATCAAATTTCAGGTCATAAACAAGCATGTGGAAGAATTGAAAATCAAGTTAATAATCTGTATCGAGTTTACCTCTAAGTAAAAGCTCTTGAGCTCCCTCTTTAGTAATGTCACCAAAAAACCACCTGCAAGACAACAAATGACTATGATGATGTGGGCAAATCGGTGTGGGTAAAACAGCAGTGGAAAAAATTGCCCATGGCATTTTACATGACAATTGCACTATAATGTGGTATGATCATGCTGTCTATTATCCTTTGTTTGCCAAAAAAATTGCATAAACACAGGGGGAGATTCCTCCCTTCACTGACACTTGTCAACACTTTGAAAAAAGACCTTGCAATAGAGAGCACAAATCATAACTGGAAGATTGAAAAACAGAAATAATTGAAAGGATTAGACAAGAAAATTTGCTCTATGGTCTATGATGAAAAAAATAATTGAATAGTCTGAGATTGAACTTACAGTTTTCCAGCGTATGGATCCAGCTCAGGTTTCTTACAAAACAACAACAACAACAAATTATTTGCTTACATTAATAAATTATATTCTTGAGCTCTTCAACTTTTAGGAAGGACTGAATGATATTTTTATGGTACATGTACACATCTATCTTTTTGTAAGACCGTTTACTGGTCATTTCTAAACATTCATCTTATACTAGAAGCATTTTGGAAGGAGAATTAAAGGAACTTGTATATATCATTATCATGCAATAGTTGTATTGTTATGCAACAGAATAAATAGCATACTTACAGCATCTTCTACAAGGCTAGCAGGCACAAGWCCTTTTTCTTTGTTCTTTTGAGAGGTGACCCACAACCAATCATTATCAATGACRTTATCAACAACAAACACATCACCTTTGCAAAAGCTATAAAAAGATAAYACCGTTTTTGCAATTAGTTGTATACAATTTAAATCTTTTTTATTTACAAATAATTATGGCAAATTGACAAACAATATTGAATACAGAAAGATGTTTTCTTTCTGATAATACTACATTAGTATCAACTAGCCTTGCTTACTAATTTAAATTGGTAATGTATCTTACCTTAGTTCATCAGTATCTGGTGTTTTGTTATAAGTATATTTGGCAACAACCCTTTTCTTGCCAGTCACAGGCTCGAAGGGTGGTACAGGGTAAACAAGTTGCTCATCTTTGAGTAAACAAGACCACTTTGTGTAATAGCCAATCAGGTCAGACAAKGAATCAAATTGACGGCCACCAATGTAGTAGTCCCCACAAACTGCTGTAATCCTAAAGTGACTTATACCATTTTTACTCAAGTACGATAAGGAGAATGTGTCCGTCTTGCGGTCACTTTGACGGACAAGATAAGCTCCTTGGCGACCATCAGCATTTAATCTTTCTTCACATTTTGCTCTGTCAAGCATTCCATGGTACCATCTAATAAAATCAAATCATGATAATTACAATGAATTGTTACATGTTTTCATCTCACCCAGTGCTGAAACATTAACTCTTTCATTTCTCTAAAAAAGTGACTGAATTAATTCTGTCATTGTAATAGTTCTAAGCTGTGCAAGCAATGGGCCAATGAGAAAAACATTAATATCTTTTGAGTTTTTAATGAATATTACATGTAATTAATTTGGTGCTGTAGCTCAACAAAAAAAGCCTTCAATGCATTTGTACAATTTGAAATCACAGTGGTAAAAATTCAGTTTAAAAAATATATTATTATTTTAATATGACATTACTTGTCAAAATCATAACCTTTAAAATATTATATTGGTAAGATTGAAAGAAATTCAGCCAAAATATATACTGAAACATTTTTGTTAAAAGCAAAATGAAACTGTATTTGGTATTGATAAGAAACCACAATTCTCTTACATTCCTCAACTTAGAAAAAAAAGAATTGACATTTAATATAAATCACCAAAAAATCTCAAAGAATGCAAACAGCCATTGTATCTTCAATAATATCCTTAATATGTTTATTGTATAAATGATAAGGCAAAAATTTAGTTGATTAAATTGTAAAAAATAAAGTACATTTTTTTGCATTCTGAAACCACATTTTCAATTGAGGAATTCTGCATGTTTTCTGGATTCTATACCTGAGATTGGTTATTTTGTGAGGAGTTTTATTATTTTCAAAATTCCTTTCTCGTTTTTTAATCTGATAATCCTAATCCTTTTAAMGATAAAAAAATGTTTTTAATCGCCCAGGTGCGGTAGAAATAGAAAAACAAAATATTTATAAAATCACTGTGGTACAAATATGGTCATGAAAAGTTCAATTAAATTTGGACAAAAACAAAATATTTTATGACCGAATATTTGGTGATTTGAGCGATGAATTAATAAATAATACATACATCAATATATTAAATTACATAGTTAAAGACCCTGACAGAGCACGAGGAAAATCAATTCACAATTCCACACGAAATAAGATTGATTTTAAACGCCATATTTTTATAAACCTCTTGTCAAACACGACCATAACAACTTACTGATCATCTGGGGGCGCACTGGACGCTAGCTCAATATTTTGTTCTTCATCTTCTAAATCTAAACCAATTTCGTCTTCAAATTGGCCATCAGCTTCGTGTTCATTGCCTAAAACCCCGTCAGATCCAAGACTTCCATTCCTGTCACGAGCCGCCATCTTGGTTCTTGATCTGAGATCGCGGGCTCTTRTTATTTCGCAATAGAGGAATGGGCTCGAATGACTCATTTCAGCCCAATTTGGARAAATCCCCAAGGGTGGGGCTTTCGGTTGAGAAATTTTCGGCAAATCTAGTTTTACTTTATAGTAATGGATATCCTGAAAACTTCATATAAGCTTGAGACGCTCTTTAGACCGTTTAGTCGTGCTTACTCAAGAAGTGGAAGAATCTTCAATGTCTCACTTGAGATTTTTTTTTCTCCTCATTTCTTTTGTTTTTCTTGCATTTTGATATTGTTAATTTAGCTTCTTTAGGGGGAAGGGGAGGGGAGGAGGAATCTAAATCTAAAAAAAAATTAAATTTGCCATGGTTAYGTCAAAATGGTGGCAGAATGATGGAAAATAATGGAAATAACCATTTTTTCAAAAAAAATGCAAGTATCTAGTTACAGAAAAAACTTTGTATATAAAATACACACAATTAAATTACGATTTTTTTTATGAATATCTCATGATGTCTTGGTATACAAACAAATTTGTAAAGAATAATTATAAATACACATATACACTAAATAAACACACGGAAGTATATCATCGAATAGCTGCCAAAAGACCATCTTCAAGACGTCGCTTGGCAATATCTGTCAGACTCTTCAAAAAAATAAAAAACAGTTTATGAACATTAAACAAAACTTGAAGTCAATAAAAATAATGTTTAAAGTTATCATATTATCATCACCATCATTTTATGTCATCATCATCATCATCACGGAATGAAACAAGATGATAAACAACTCACCTTGAATGTCTTGGGCTCATGAATTGCTARTTCTGATAACATCTTTCTATTTAGCTGTATATTGCACTAGAAATTTCAGAAAATAATAAGTTCTGATTCATAATTCAAATGTGATTTTAACGAAAATATCATCATTTAAAGATGGTGTCTTGAGCATGCTTTCTAGGTAACCAGATCCTAACTAATCTCTTCTAACAGCCATGACTTCTGGTTTTGCCAAATTTCCTATCCGAAAGTWAAGTAAAGTTAATTTCGGGGAGGAAATTCTACTTTTAGAGAGGAAATTTTAAGAAACCAGAAGTCGSGGCTGTTTGAAGAGACTACCTTCTARCASCTTGATTTTGCTTCAAATTTGTCATTCCTCTATAATTTTTCATGTAAAAATAAAATTACAGTATACTTACTCTTGYCATTTCAAACATAAATGTTGAATAGTTTAAATTGTGCTCTCGGCTAGCAATGTTTATTCTTGTTTGCCATAACTACAATAAAACAAAATAACCATTATTAGAACAAAGTAACAATATTGTTTTTGTCAGAGGCATAAGAGTTTAGTTTGGTGAGATGGTTTTGAGTAGAGAGTAATATATATTATATTCAAGCTTATACTCTATGATGAAAAACTATACTTACTGATCGCATATCTCTCTTTTTAAGACGTCTGCTTGCATATTGATATTGCAAAGCTTTCTGTACTCGTCTTACAGCAAGACTATAGCAGTTTTTCGAGCGACCTCTAAAGCCCTATAAGATAAAGATCGTTTGAGTAAGCTATATTTAGATGGCTTTGGCATCATGGATAAGATTTAAGACAAAATTTCATGCATTMAATTCGCATATTCGCAATAACTTTGGYGCAAAMATATTTAGTACTATTTTGTTCTTAAACATATCATGTAATTTCCGTTGTATTACCTTTGCAAGGGCGAAGATTTTCGCTCTTTTTACAGCACGATCKGCAGGACCTCCACGAACCATTTTAGAAATACTAGAGCACAGACCTACACGWGGTATAATTCCACAGGTATCCCATCCRACAGGAAGCCCACAGTTGTAGCATGAGGACTCCCTGAAGAAGCAGAAAGAAGAGAAAAACAACAAGGCTATTATAGCCCATACTCCAAAAACTCCAGTATCCAATATAGCTGTATGCATGAAAAAAAYGAGTGCAAACTTTGGAAACAAATARTAATCAGTGATCGGCGCGCGGGTCTTTAGCAGTCAGCGGTCAACAATTTAAAAAACAAAATGGCGGAAAATTCAAGATGTGAAAACTTTTCTCTGGACGAAAAGGTAAAAAGTCAGCCTGTAGTGTTTCCTCGTGCTTGTGTATTACTGCAGGTATCATTAAAATGAATTCATTTAAGTTTGCGGCCAATAGCAGAGCCAACGGGAATCACACTTATATAGCTCACAAGACGACACAAGACGTTCTCATAGCGAGAATCTCTACGGTTGTACTACGAATCAACGGGAAGCTCTAATGTGTCACTTCAAATGTATATTATGCATTGMTGGTAATGACAATCTTGTCAATCATCATATAACCTTAATACAAGCATTCAATGGTTTGCAAATTAAACTAGGAAAACTAGTGTAAATACATTATGTATTAAACTTCGTCATGTCATCTTTGCAATGTTGATACACAAAGATTAATTTTAAAATCAAAAAATTAAATTGAACTACTTATTTTTGACTATTATAGGAAGTCTTGCTGTCAGAGCTACTGACTAATCAAAGCAAAGGTTTTAGTGAGTACAGTCAACTCCATTTCCCAGMTTCCCCCCTTCTRTCCCTTCCCTTTCACTGCYATCCCCTCCCATTTTTTAAACAGTCAATACAAAGGCTGCTTGAGTGAGGTAAAAGCGTTAAAAGCATCTGCCATTTTTATTGTTGTTGTTGTTGTTGCTGTTGTTGTTGTTGCTGTTGTTGATGCTTTTGTTGTTACTGTTGTTGACGCTGCTGTTGTTGTTGTCTGTTGCTGTTTTTTATCCTTAAACATGTTATCTATGATAGGGAGATGTCATGACGGACTCGTTCATCGAATCATGAAAGGAGACCACAAAACATAAAAAAATTCTGGTAAATTTCTTTTTCATTTTTTATGTCACTTTTCATTTAATTTTCCTTTTATTCATTTTTATTTGTTTCTTGTCCCATTTCTCTTCCATTTGTCCCGTTTTTTTTTTCTACATTCTTTACTTCTTTCTTGCTCAGTTCTTACTCTAAATTCTGATCCTTTTCCTATTTCGTTCTTTTCCCTCTCATTTTTTTTTTTGTATTTCAGTATCATCTGACTTATTATCATGTGTGTTTGATATGTTGCGTGTGTTTGTATTGAGCCATTTATCGTTATTGGRACCGTTATATCTTTGATTGAAGAAACAAAAAGCTCAGAGGCTAATTAAAAAACGTATATTAACTTCATATTTCGCAGCTATTTTTGATTTTACGTAGATAAGCAACCGATACTTGTAGAATTTAATTTCACGACTTTTAGTTTTTCGTATCTTATAGATACATTGCAGACGCTTTAACATCAAAAGAAGAATTTAAAATTCTCTAATTACTACGATTTACACGTTTTAAAATCATATACTTTAATGTCAATGGACATCTCACCGCAATCAATGAGTTAAATTTCGAGGTTTTTCTAATTGCACTACTCGGTTTGATTTTCGCTACATGTCCACTAAACAAATACAATCTTATAACCCGTGACTATAGTGTCCTTTTGTTTTYTCAGGAAAGCAAATTTAATAAGGGATGTTTGGAAACACCGCAGGTGGAAGAGCACTTCATAGCCATCTACTAATCGGCTCGCAAGGCGAACAATCAAAGCGTGTCACTGAGCAAACAACCACCGAGAAGATTTCATAAGAACCAATTCAAACCAGAGTATTGTTTGTTCTGCTCCATTTAGTAGAAGACATGTATTAGAAACTGTTGAACTTCCTCTCACAAAAGGCTGATGTGATTCATCTCATTGACCTGTTTTGAGGCGCAAGAAATCAACCAAAGGTAATCCGAATTAAATGTTTAAGGTTTCGCGTTGATAATATTTAAAGACGCGCTGTCCTTGTTGGATACTCTTTTAGATAGACTCGTTTTAGCTCAGACAATCTGGGTTTTGCACCTTTTCTAGGGATAATAAGAAAGTTACTATTGGTCAGTCAATTTTAGCATCAGAAATTATGAAAATCAAAAAGCTGAATTGCGCGCGGCTTATCTAAAATCAAACGAATAAATTTTTAACTTCCATGCATAAAATGTGCGTCTCGACCTGCTTATTAGAGAATGTATATATTCGCTTCTTCAGCGGCAGCTCAAAGTCGAGAGAAATTTGAGAGAGACGTTTTGATCTGATTTATTTATCGTTGCCATAGTAACCTCAATAAGCTCAAAAGCATCGTAAATGGAACCTTCATTCAAACCCAAGAAGTGCGGGTAGATAAATGTCTGCATGTATAGGGTTATCAAGTGATGTTCAATATGGATTTATTGGTCTTAAATGAGGCATCTAAAAAAGCATTTCTTGTGCGTGGTAAATTAGCCAATAAAGGGCCTGAATTTTGCTCGTATTCAGTATGATTAACYCATATAATAACTGATAACAAGGTAAATAATGGTTATACGGTTATAAGTTCTGCATGCAAAGCCACCGTCTTTGAAACTTCCGGCGTTCATGTCTGAGACAATTGTACGCGCGTAAAGGTTGCCTTTACTCAATTCAACCTGTCTAGGGTTTATAGGTGTGTTTCCTATCTGACAATATTGTGTTTTAAAACAATATGTCCAATATCATGCTCAATCAATGATCAAAAATTGCACACAGTAAAATTTGAACAATAATTTTGATTTAATTTCGTGTCTACTTAAGATTTCAATGTTCAATTCATAGTCTTTGATTAGTCGTAATATCCTGTCGAAATTACGCGAAAATGATTAACAGTGCGGAAATGGCTGGTGGCACTTTCAATTTTGACAAATAACATATTTGACTTACTTGTAGAATATTTACCTGCACTAGAGGTTGTCCAGGAACCGCTATCTCATTTTTGACTTCTGAGTTTCTAGTGTGTAGCTAAAGCGGAAATTGCTGCAGCCAATTTTGTTTTAAGTATGTTTAAGTGATCGTTTTATCATGCATGTATTTCCCTTTCCCTAAAATCTAAGATACCAATCATCGCAATATGTTTCAAGATGGCCGCTCTTATTGGAATTCAAAATGGCGGGCGTATTCATGTGAAAAGGGTCAATTTTCCTCCCATAATATACAGCAATTTCAAAATACGTTGTCGGGGAGAACGGTGAACGGCGATTGTCGAAGGGAGATTGCACGACCGAAAGGGACTATGGTTACACTGTTTTGATAAACAACTTTTCACTTATTGGATTCACCTTACATAGAAATGAAGACTAAATGGAGCCAATGTTTAGCACAGACTATCTTACAATACAAATTAGTTGTTATTTCCTTTCAACTAGCAAAACCCATGACTACTTTCGGTCGTGCAATCGGCRTTCGACMATTGRCATTCGCCATTTTATCCGACAACCTTTTTTRAAATAGCTATATATCGAAAATAATAGAATCCAAGATGGCGGCCATATTTGTTTAAAAAAGTCAATTTTTTCCCTAGACATCGTATCATATATGTTGAAAACAATAGAAGTCAAATTGACGGTCGTAYAAGTAAAAAGGGACAATCATTTCCCCTTGGCATCCCATAATATAAATTTCAAAATCAAATATTCAAGATGGCTGCTGTATGTGTAAAAAGCTCAATTCTTTCCAGTGGACATCCCATAATATATTTTGAACAGATGGCGGTCATTTTTGAAACCAGWAAATAGATTTTCCAATGATATCTACWMRRCAATYAAATTCRAGACGAAGKCTATACCGGAAAAGAGGCCAATATRAAAARAGGRATATGCGACAACAATACAGAATATAAAAAAGAGATTTTGTACAAAAACTGTTTCTCGTGTGTTGCAGGTGCTTTAACTTGAGAAATGATATTTCAGTGAAATTTCGTATTTCGAAGATTGCTAAATGTTTTTATATGAAAAAAAGATATGCAACAACAATAAAGAAATAAAAACCTTTTTTCTTTTCAAAAAAAAAAGATTATAAAAATAAAACAAGATTTTCTATACGGAAAGAGTGCAAGGCCTTCAGGTGCATTGCAGGTGCTTCAACTTCCAAAATGATATTTCATTAAAACTTCGTCCTCAAAAGGATACCAAATGTTTTTAAGTAATAAGAACTTTATTTCAAACGTTTTCGTTGTTCAATAACCGTTAAAAGGGTACAATTACATTGAGAAATACATTAAGAAATACAAAATCAATTTCCTAACARCCTTAGTGCTTCCGGTCACCCAAGTCGACAACACAAGATCACAYTGTACCTTCAATTGATTTTCAAGTGTATAAGGAATATGTTAATCGTGTTACTCTAAAAACTAGAGAATGCTATATAAGTAGATCATATATTTCACAAATGTTTGTCATGAAATTACCGAACATTTAAAAAACACAAAGTGCCATTATCCTATTGTCAATAATGCGTGATAATTACTACCTTAATTTTACAGCTAAGTATAAATAGAAATTATTTCAAAAAACAGGTAATTTGCTCAATTCTTATCGGTATAGTAATGCGATCATATTAGTGAGATAGATAGGGTATCATATTGGTTATTTAACTATAACTCCTTTAGTATAATTATAGCATTGTGTTTCGCGGGTTGAATGTCTTCATTTCGTAAGATCAAAAAACCATCTCCGTTGCATTGCCGCAAAGGTCGAAGTTTTTAATTCCGATAGTGTCAATCTTTTTGTTGATTTAAGGATGACAGGACTAGGAATCCTGTTGAAACGCATGGTCGAGATCACAAGATTTAAGTATTTGTCTAACTTTCAAAAGCCCGTCTCTTATGTAATAGCTACCACTGTAGCTTCCTTACTCCATGCCACATTAGCAATAAGCGATTGATGACCWTCCTC